TTAAAGGTAATTTTAAATTAAAATTAATGGATTACCTAATTTATAAATTACCTTTTGGTGTATTATGGAATGTTATGAATTAATAAATGCATTACTTAGTGTTTGTCTAAACTTTGTAAACAATTGATAGAATAACTAACATAAAATATCAATATACACAGTTATTCTAATGTATACAAATGGTTGTATTATAAGGTGTGAGTATAGTAACCATAATGATCGCAGTGAAGTACCTACGTGTGGTGTGCGAACTGCTATACCACTAAAATTTGAGAGTTAAACGCCTGTAAAATTATTAAACATACTTAAAATTTTGTATAGAGATTCCATTCCACATATTATGACGTAGTTGCCGTAGGCAATCGGTATGAAAGGATTATTGGAAATTTGCTCAGGAATGAACAGGGGTTCTGTGTCGAGATTCCGTGAAATTTTCCTGATTACATTAACAACCCCGTACATTAATTCAGACAAGTTTTCATTGAAGTATAAGTGCTGAACGTGATTTGGAATTTTATGTTCGAATATTGGAATGGGCATTATCTGGTTTTAATGCGAAAGCTTGGGTGCAGAACTTCTACTGCGAAATATTTGCAAATGCATCACACCCGTCGACTCTAAACTTGTTTTAATGAGAGTGCGACCGAGCACCGTACAAACTGTTACGTTGGACTTAATTTTGTAAACCAGAATATAGTATTTTATACAGAGGTGTTAATGATCACCCAATAATTACATTTATTAAACATATTTTAGAATCGCAACTTTCTTATTTACATAATATTCAAGTTTTTTTTATTTACCTGTACCTACATGTAGATATATTGTTATAGAACTACCTATTAAAATCAGAAAAAAATGATTTATATTACAAAGAAATGTTTCTTTTACTTCGCAAAACAAGCTAAAACAAGGCTAAAAGGATGTAATGGAAGCTAAATCAGCAATTATTTTTTTAGAAGTTTTGGTCACCTATTTAAATTCCTCTGAGAAATGATTTTTAGCAATATATTATAATCAAATATTTGTTAGCCCAGGTTTAAAGCTGGTATATATTTTATCAGATTCAGTCAAGCGAATCATAAAGTACAATATGACCCTTTCATAGTGTGAAGTCACGTAGAACAAAAATAATTATAATTTTATCTACACTGTGGTTATGTGTAAGAGGATTATGGCTCAAATTAATATTATAGCATAATAATATACAACATTATTAGCCTCGAGTATTCAACATGCACGAAATATTACAGTATCAGATATTTCGAGCATGTTGAATATTCACGTCGGTGTTCAGTAAAATGCAATATAATCAAATTGGTTTCGTGTATACTTTGTATGCTCTGAAATAGTTTGCGAGACATTCCCTAACGTTGGTATTCGAGAGTTTATACTCATGTGTGCTTTGAAGAGCTTTCTAAACTAACCCAAAGCGTAGTTCGCATCAGCGTTTATTTGCAAATCTATTTCGTTGCCTTTGACGCGAGCGAAAGGTCTAGCTTTACATTTGAGTTGCAGTCGCAATAAAGTGTAACATAAATAAAAAGTTGCGGTTCTTGTTAGCTTGGAGCGGGTAGACCTCTCGAACCTTCTAGAGCGCAGCGAGGCGGAAGTGGCCCGTGTGCCTTCGGGCTCTTGACTCCTTTGAGGGAGAGCAAACGTCGATATAATTGGATTGGCCTGTAATTATGCGAGTAAGTACAACAAGAGAATAGTAACTGGAAAGCTTTGAGGAAGGAAATGAGAATACTTTTAATTTATACCTTGTGCCGTATTATTTTATACCTACATATATAACATTTTAAGATTAAGTTTCTTCCACAAATTTCCACTACACGTCTTATATATAATACAAAATATATATTTCATAAACGTCATATCCATCAACTTTGAAAACATAAATATTTGCAAAACTGGCACCAGAAATAGATAAGGGAGAGTCTTCTATTATAATATTACGTGGTATTACTGTTGTTGATATTAATAATTAATGAAATATCTAGCGAAAAATATATTCTCATGTACCTATTTGTCATATTATAATATAAAATATATTATTACAAGAATATAATAATGTAAAGGAAGGAGACATTTCTAACTTATATATTCTCCTTTCATCTTTACTTTTCGGGGCATGCGACTGACTGAACAAGGGGCACACGCCCTTCGCAAGTCCTATGGGAGGAACCGTGATAACTTGTAAAGAGGCTCAATTTACTTTCCCCCACTATTTGAAATGCGTAACAGTAGAATCACTCTAACCGTTGAAGGTAATGGCATAAGTACGTAGCTACAATAGAGCACTAGTTGTGATTACATATATTTCTTAAAAGAAATGCCGGCCACACTTGTCTCCTCACCAAGTGCAAGACGGGATGCGACAATTGCCCGCCCAGGCTATCACATATTTTTTATAGGATGATAATGGAATTACTCACCTGCCGGCGCTAACGTTATACGTCGACGGGGCATCAGTGGAGGATAAGATGAGTATGAGGTTAGGTTAGTTAGCCTGTTGTGGCCCCTTACCCCGCTTCATATTTGCTTAGAATATTCATTCTGGCATTTTTTTTCAGGTCGCCACTTATAGCCTCTAACTTTTCTCAAGAAGTCGGTTATTTCTAAGTAAAAGATGTTTTCAAACCTAACACGTAGTTCTGGATATCATAGCATTAAAACAAAAAAATCCTCCAATAATATACCTATTAAAAAATATACGTTAAATGTAACGTCGCGTACTAATTATAATTAGTACTGTCTTAATATTAATGCCATATCGATATATAATTACTTTTATTTTACTTGTACTATATGAAGAATAGGTTAAACACAATTTTACTTACAAGTAGGTCATTGGATTAGCAAACAACCTAACGCCTAACCTTATGGTTAATGGTAATGCCGCGTATATACCTACCTATATGAATTAGTGATGGTTATGTTCGTTAATATGGGAGGACCATTAGCTGACATAACCTTTTTCCTTATCTATCTATCTCTGTCTCTTGCTTTTTATAGATACTATTGCATCTATAGTACCTAAAATTCAGTAAGTTATAACATCATCGAAATATTATATAATTTCACATTCTTTAGAAATACCTACAGACATTGTTGATATTGTTTTCCTATAAGAAATTCCAAGTCATATTGGAACATTTTAAGAAAATGTGACAGGAGGGAGTAGCGATTTTTCTCGTAGTCGCCGTAGCAATAAAGATCTTTATTTTTCACGCTCAGTACTCCGTCTAATGGTTAAGTTGAAAGGATATTTTTCTTAGAACCAAACAATATTTACGTTTTCTACGCATCGACGTCTTGGCATCGTAAATTGACTTTCGAAAGAATAAATGGATAAACAGAAATATATATAGATATGCAATAAATTCGACGTACACCCACAATAAAGTTGCCATGTCTGCTGTATATTCCAATGTACTGAGCATTGGAAACATTTTCCAAACTTCACCACGTCCTCGTTGTGACATACGTTTTTAGATGATCTATTTCTTTCTGGTTTATGTTATAAACAAACATCAAGTTGTATAGATATATTTAAACTTCATATACAATTAAGCTTATAATAATTTTATAAGCAGACCGCTCAGGTCTAATTTTACAATATTTGTTTTTCTTTATTGGTTACACTGAAACAACCACACAATCTCTTATAAGAAAAGTTACGTGCCTTTCATTCTGCTACGGAGATCAATAATGTTTCAGATGATCCCATCATGGATTAGTCTTTTAGTGGCGAGAGATTCAGTTATTGATTAGTTGTTCCTTATAATATAATATGTTGGTATATCAACAGTGAAATAGTATATTTTGGCGGTGTTATAACATTTTAATTATTTTCTCTATGTTAAATGTAGGGGTAACCGAAATTTAACCTTTATTTGCACTATTTTTTCGTGTAAATTGTGTTTTGACTGTTAAAATTTCACTGTTGAGGTCTATCTTTACTACTGGTTTAGATATCACAATGTAAATTAACATGCTTAGCATAGAAAGAAAGATTTATATAGAATGAAATTTTTTTTTACAAAATCTTTAATATGGTTTTGTATAATGATTTTTTGTTCTACCGACTCTTCAGAATGCAGATTCGGTCATGAAGAATGGACAAGAAACTTAATTATTGCACTTTTATTGTCAAATTTGTTATAAGTGGTTATTATATGAAACTTCATCACATTTAATTTTTTTTATAGTATATCTGAACAATGCCGGAAAAGCCCAGTAGCAAGAGTAGCAAATGCTACAGGCCCATGCATTTGATTTTTTTTTAAGATTTAATATTTTTTCTTGATTGTTGGTTGTAAGTCGAAACCAAATAAAAGATCGGTCGTTTGTTTTGATCTTAATAGAATTTGCTAATGTCCCTGCTGTGACTAAATCCGGCCTTGTATCTGAATGATGTTTGCAATGGCACGTGTAGGCGATTGCCACAAAAATCCATGTACCGAGGTATTGATGGAGATATTCAGTGGATATTCAGCAGTAAATACGATTTATTCTCGCATTTATCAAAGCATAGTAAGACATAACGGTTACCTACTTAGCAACAACAATACTCATTTTAAATGTGATTGATGGATTATACTCTTTATTCCACAACTAATGTAAATAAGTATATTAGAAGTATTAATTTTATTGTATTTCTCAACTGGATGACAATAATACTGAAGATTGTCTATCAACTTCCATTATATAGATTATAAATCTTTATGTGTGACTCATGTCAGGCGTCAATAAATAAATACACGGCCAGGATAACTTCTGCTACGTTTTATTAGTCTTACATGAAACGATAATGATAATGTAATCTATTTTCCAAACACCTACATACTTTATAAGTGATGTAAGTAATCATTGTAAAGGGTATTTTTTTGCAAAATTCCACAGAAGCAGGAAATTAACGATAGGTATATCTTTCCTTGTGCGTGTTATAAGTGAAATAAAAGATATAGATTTAATTATTAAATTTGTTTATTGGACACAATTTAAATTAAGTACTTAGAATTTAGGTAAATTATCCCCCTTACTAATTATTAAATATGACTATATAATATTTCAAATGTAATAATTATACTCTATCTGCATAAAGTTGTTTAGGACCATATATAAAAAAGTTGTAGTTGTAGCGACACTCAGTTACAGATGTTGATGCGGCAAACAGCGATGTCGACCGGACGGGTGTTGCCACTCACACTGACTTCATTAGTAAGGAGGAAAATAAATCTCAGTATAATAACATAGTTTGGCATAAGGTATATTATTTCAAAATATAATTAAACTTTTAATATCCAACAAGTTATAATATAGGTATAGTGTTCTTGAAACTAAATAAATAATAATATTTTCCTATAGACTAAATTAATAGAGATCAAACATAAATCAGGTAACAAAATATTTTAGGTCTAATCCGTTACATTTTCTATTCATAATGTAAAATAGATATTATCTGCTTCATTGACAAGTTATAAAATTTCCTAGACCAATTATAAACTTTATAAAGACTAAAACAGCTTAAATAACCTTTCCCCACTAATATCACCGAACACCGTATCACATGCTTGGGTTGTATGACGTAAGCTTCTGACGTCATCACCCTCAGTCCATCCCCAACTTGTGCTAGGCACAGTTATTTTCAAAATAATCTTGGCCATTAGTATATAAATTAATTGTGTTTGGACCAAGTGATTGGTATAAAATTCTTAAAATAGTGTGTAATATGAATAACTTTAACCTTAAGAGTCATCAGTATTCTAGATTAATTTCGGAGTTTATTTTAAGTACATTTAACGCATTAAAATATATTTTTACTACATTTTTTCGTAAAGCGAGTCTCTGGTAGTCTGACAACACCAAAATTCAATATTGTGTTACAGAAAAAGAACGAAAACATATTTTTCGTATCAATTTGATATAATAATAATGACCCATTTCCTGTTTATATTTACCTGCTTGTACTTTAATCATACAATGATTTACAATTTTGAAGATATTTACAGTTCGAAACACATAAATTGTAATATAGTAGTTAAGTAGATACTATTAAGTTTGCAAGCAAATGAATTTAAATTATCCAACATTTCATTATTACACATTAATCCAGTCTTCTTCTTTCATCATAGATGTAATAAAAAGTACTTACGACCCTTACAGCATTAAATCTTGTTAAGAATATATCTTATTGAATGAAAACACCTTTATATATAAAACTTAAAAATTAGAATAATACGTGAAACGAAAAGAACAAACCAGTACACGAGTTGAAATAATTTCTTACAAGTTTGATGTTTTTATTCAAAATTCAAATTCAAAATTCAAAAATTCTTTATTTAGATAACACCATTTTACAATTACATTCTACAGTTGTTGAAGACTCCTTTTAAGCATAAAGATGCCTGTGCCAGGAGGCTCCGCTCTTCCATACCTTATATCACCACTTTTGTAACTGTTTTTTGTTTTATAAATAAGGAAATAGTATAATAATATATTCATTGATAAAATATTTCAATTTTTGTCCTTTCATAGTGAGAATGAATTTTTAACTCAGAAATTATAGCATTACCGAACAAATTTTGTTAATAATGATCTTATAGAGTTTGATCACTTAGTACAGAAATTAACGAATCAAGTAAAAATATAGGTAACTCTAAGTATTATGTACCAGTGTTTATGACGATTTTACTGGCCGACGTGAGATCCTCCCAGAGCAAACTTCGAAACGTAAATACAGGCTTAAAATTTTTGATTCTATTCTACTTATGTAGAAATTACCTAAAAGTAAAACGTTACAATCGAAATAAAAAGGGCTACTTTTTATTTTGATTGTAACGTTTTACTTGTGCCAGTATAATTATGTAGTTACTAAATTAATTGTAAGTTAAAATTTTTACCGACAGCAGTCCTATCAGAATACGTTCCTTGAAAAAAAAGATACGAGTTAATTTTAAAATATTGGAATGTTTTTTTATTTTTATTAATTAATTTTATGTCAATGTAGACCAAGTAACGTTTTCAAAAAAGGAAGAACGGATCCAGAAATATAAACTTAAATATTGAATATTGGGTAAAATTATTATGTGATTGTAATTTAATCGTCTTAGTTAGCAAAAATCCGAAAACAAATGTTATAATAGCTAGCGTTCTCGTATTAGCTATGATACGCTATAATTATTCTATTTGACTAAAGTACTTACAACAAACATTGATTGTGCGTTAACTTAGTACCATTGTAACCATATTTTAAGGTTGATTCTGTTAACTGGTACAGTATTGTATACTTATGATTAATCTATAAATAATATTATGCCAACATTTATATGTTGTTAGTTCTGCATTCTTGGCTAAATTGTTATTTAAAATTTCTGACATCGACAATGCAAACGTAATAACATAGACTCAAATATATAGCAGTCCTTATGAAGTTATATTGATGACATTTGTATTCAATGTGAAATACTCATAAATGAATCCTCGACTTGATGTTCTAATTATTTTCTTAATCACTTCATCATCGTACTAAGGATGATTGTAAATAATGCAACTAGATATTTATGCTAAATAGTTTTTTTTTTATATATTCTCTAACTATAGAAGTCGTCAAGAAATCATATCATATGTAAATTACATTTTAATTAGACAGCTTTTACTATCGGGCGATTGTTTCTCATCAGGATAATTGTCATATAATGTTTAATTTTCATTGTCTATTTTTTGTATTGGTTGTCCCATTACCATGATAAATAAGCGGTGTCTTTACCATAAACCCAACTAACATTTCAATCAGTATGATATGTTTCATAAAAATACAACTTTCTCTGTTATCACAGCCCGTAATTTAGTATTATTTACTATAATAGTAAAATAAAGTTTATAACTTGATATAATATATTTGTGTGTGTAAGTACTTATTTTCTTTGTTTTCTATTTACATGAATAATTTTCAAATTTAACTTTTAAGCATTTCTTTGATTATATAATATTTTGAGCTTTGCTCGTTTAAAAGACTATCTATCATACTCGTAATTTTATGATAAACAAATTTTCATTTCATCGACCATATGTTACTCTCCAACCCATGTACATCATAAATTTTATTACTTAAAAATTTGTTTCATATTATTTTCTTGGAATGAGATCGAGATATTATTTAAATGTATAAAATACTAAAATTATGTATTTAACTATTCTGGTATATTTAAAACTAATAAACTAAGTACATAGGTTGGATCTGTATCCGTTCACTTAAGAACTTTCTTAACTGTATTCATTGTATACGAGTTCAAATCGAAAATATAAATGGTTATCATGAAAGTTGACACATGAAGTGGTAAAACTGATCAAAATTTACCGGCTCCAATTCGGACTCCCTTTCTGATTTGTGAAGAAGCTCTGGGTTTCTTTTCAGGAAGTTCCTAACCCAATCTTCTCCAGCCATTCTGCTTTTAACGTCGAAGGGATGATTTAAATGGTTGTCTTCAGCATACTGGAAGGCCAGCTCTCTAATATCTCGACGAGAGACACCCATGAAGTATTGCTCCATGCTCTTAATATATCCCACTAGGTCCCTTTCTTGGCTGTCTGTAAATACTCTTCGATAATGGCCCATCAGTGGCTTAGTGTCGTCTGGTTGTTGATACCTTATCTTACTAGCTCGTCTCTGTAGTGTAGATCGTGGTATGTGGAAAGTCCTAGCCGCTAGTTTGTAGCCCATCTTACCTGACACGACAGCTTGTACGGCTTTAGCCATATCTTCCTCATTCCAAGATTGTCGTCCACTCATTCTTTCGTATTTTCTGACCATTGCGATCTGAAAATATAAATAAGAATTTCGTAAATTACATATAACATTAAGATAACTATTATTACCAATGTCTTTCCTTGATTGTCCTTTTTATACAGATTTTCAGATCAGTTTAAAGTTAAAGTTACAACTTGTCATGACCTTTCAGGACCAATTGTGTGTTATTGGCAACTACAGTTGCTGACCTGACTGCACTAAAATTTCTAATTTTATCGCGTCTAATTCGTTTAATTTTTAGTTAATACCTAAGTCTGCTAAATAGGAATTAGAAAACATAAAAATAGAATTTGCTTTGAAAGTAGTTACAGTAATCGGATTATTATATTTACCAAATAAATCACCTGCTTATCTTTATCTCATCTATTTATGCCATCAAGTAGCTTCCTTTGCAAGCTGTATTCCGGATTCGGGTTCAGATCCAGTTTATTTCAAGGCAGATGTTGTAGTAAAATTACTGGGAGCGAGGCCTAAAACCTCAATCTTCAGAAATGGCAACGCCTGCTACCTTCACGTTGAAATTTTGGCATCATATTGCATTTCGTGATGGATGTGGTATTATTACTTACAAGCTTAACTACCGCTTTCATTTCATAAGATGGGCCAACTTTATTATCACCATAGTCGTATAGAATACATATGCATACACATATTTCTAAACTAAATGAGATAAGTTATTTCACAGAAAGGAAGTGCATTAATATATCATACTACATAGAGGTAAGGATTCCTTGATTTATTGTGTAAAGAAATGTTTATTTGTAGCTTGTACTGTACTGTAAATTTAGTGTGTAGTTTTGAGTGTTTGGCGAAGGGTAACCGCAATCTACCGGTTTTGTGGACCACGATCAATGCCAGCTCGAGGTGAAAAAAACACGTCTAGAGACGTTCTAGAGGTTAGCGCCAGTGTTGTTCAATTTGTGTCTTATATGTTTTAACTTATAAATATGTAAATAAAATACCTTACGCTTAGTTGTCTGCATCATACTCATAGTGTATCGTACTCGTTATATTATAGTTTAATGGTAGTTTTCCTCGTTACAAATAGGAGTCTTAATTTAATATTAATACAATAATTAACTACGTTAGTGAACTTGTTTGGTAATCACGGTACAGTAAGCGTCCCTACATTGTCAGAATGTACACCTCCCAGTAGAACAGCAGTTAATATGTTTGTTCTCATACAGATAAAGCTATCGCAATATCTCTTGAACAGATATAATAACATAGAATCACGACTTGGTATAGACGTGTCAATTGATAAAACACAAAACGTACAATATGAACAAATCCTATTTATGTCATTCATTTATTTATTGTAGGCCACAAACTTCTATATATATGTATTCTATATTATTGCATATTCCAGTTCGGAACAAAAGGGTTTACACTAATTGATTGTCAGAAACTCTAGCCGAAAAAAAAGTTTTAGCAGTTCTGTGTGATTATAAAACAGGTCCACAGAAATACACTTTCGATTTTTTGCTGTTGATAAGCTTGTAAGGCACTTGCTCCACCGTCCACATCGACGTGTAAGTGTGACTTGTTCGAGTTTCTACCACATAGCGCGATACCGATAGCGAATGGCCGATAAACATGGCTTTACAAATACGATAACTCGGAATACGGGGGCCCCTTTGCACAGCATGTATTCGTATCTCAAATTGACAGGAAAGATGTGCTGCGAATTTTCCTAGTAACAGTGTCTAATCGCGTTTTCATCTTCATGCCTCTTAAAATAAGAATGCAGTGAAGTTATTGACGTGTGCTATACTAAATATGTGTATATACCTACTCTATTCACATCAATACGTGCATTTTCTTGTAAATTATGTTGTTCAGCTGTACTTATGACCGGGCAGCGGACTATTGTGTCATGTGTATCTACTGATGTCAGGTGTACATTGAAAAGTATTTTCTAAATTACAGTATACGTGGTTAAAGCAATAGTCTGGACTTTACCGACTGGAAGCAACAATAATAATGGTGGAAAGTATATTAGATAATTAAGGCCGAATATAATGTAGTTGAATTTTGAATTATAAAAGCAAAATAGTTTCATTTTTGTGTTGATCATAGCAATTTTTCTTGTAATGTATATTTTACATAGGTACCTACCTATGGACAAGTGTTATTATCAACAGATGAATATAACATACAATACACATAGAAAGATATTATTGAAACGTTTATTTTAATTACCAGTAATTTGCCTTAACGACATTATTTTGTGGAAATAAAAACGGGAAATACTACTTGTTAGTGATCAACCGTCCTTGTGTGACCGCGTCATATTTTTTATCTGTCAAAAGAACATAGTCGTCAGCGGTCAGCTGTTTGTGATCGTTTCATAGTGCGTCTATCAACATAACCTCGTACTAAACAAATTTTAGTACACGAGTCTATCGTATAGTTTACTATACATTGCATGTTGAATACTGTTCAGATTAAAATGCAAAGGGCCAATAAGATACGAGCGAGCAATGGACGGCGGCTGCGCGGAATTAAACATATTTGAGACGAGTCGAGAGAAATCATAGTAGCAATACGAGTACGCCGTGAGCCGAGGTTACTCCGACGCGTGACTTGCAAGGTCCCCGCTGCATTACACGATGCGCCAAGGTTGCCTCGACATAAGGAACCTAGGGCTTAGTTATAAAAATTGATACGAATACAGTACTATTTATATACATGAAATTATTTATGGCTATACACCCACGAGTCACCATGCAGTAAAGCGGCACGGCGGATGGAGGTGAAATCTGCATCGGTTGCTTATGCGCTGCATAGCTGTTGCAGTTTAGTAGTCTAGGTGTCATAATATGATGTACATGTATTATTATAATATGCAGAGTTAGTTACTCACGTTTCGTTGTATGATCGAGGATGGCGTAGACGGGAGGGGGTTGTGGAGGCGGCCAGGTGGCGCGCGCGGAGGCGGCTGGTGGCTGGCAGCTGAGTGCACAGACACGACAGCGTGCGGTCGGACTGACGGCGCGCGCGGCACTGGCGCGGGGCCCGTCTTGCCCCGCCGCCGGCCCTGGCGCGCTGACGTCACCTGGCCCAGGGCCCGACTGCGACGTCTATTTTTGTCCACAACTAATTATCTAGATCCTTCCTTTGTTCAACTCGAATGCTTATGACTGAAAAGGAAATCTGGTTATCTATATCCACAAAGCAAAGCAAATTACGGACGTCATCAATATAATCAACAGCTCTATTTACTACAGACGTACCAACATGTTTGCATTGCAATTTTAGGTTAATGTGTATAGTATGTAGGTAGGTGTAATTAACGAAGAATGGGTAACAGTGTACAATGTCATCCATAATGCATTTGTAAATTGTAAGATAGTGTTTTATTTACCCGAATTTTTAAAAGAATACAGAAGTACCTATACATAGTTAAGGAAGTTTATAATTTACAGTCTATCCAGCTGAAGTAAGATCTTATTAACAATGGATATGTAGGTGTTACGTTCGTTACTTTGTACTTTGTGTCTGTAGGTGTTATTTTGTCTAAATATAGCGTTGTCTATCACACGGTAGACATGTAGGTAGGTACGAATTTAATGCTCCATGCATACTTCATTATCATAGATATGGATATTTGTCTCTTTTGATTTATGTACACATAGTCGTATTATCAAAAATGTAGAGAAACTGACAACATAGTGCTCATTCATACAAGAAAAATTAAAGTAGATCTCTATTTCGATATAAAACCGACTTTGCGAAAACTAAAGTGAGCTTGTTCGCTGTTTTTACAAATCATCAAGAAACAAATATTAATAAATTACTAAAAAAATACGTATGCCATATGATGACGTAGTATTACATTTTATTTATCTTAATCAATCATATCCAAGTCGACAAAGTAGAGAGCAGAAATAGTCTATCAATAATGTAAGCGTAGTAGTTTCATAGCCAAAAATGCTGGGTTTGCTCCAAATACTAAAAACCACATAATATATTGTAAGTAAATATAATTGACTTAGCATGAACATTAATTTTATTTATTTAGTCAACATTTAATTTTGTCGGTCGTAAAATGAAGTAAGAATACAGATTTAAATGTATGATTTTGACTTTAGTTATGATTGTTAATATCTCTACATACGAATATAAAGTAATATCCTAATTACTAACAAATTTATAATCTATTATAAATTTGTTAGTACAATTGTTTTTTCTGTCGGTGGAATGTCGAGGAAGTATACGGCAATACGATGGCAAATGACGCCCGTAGTATGTGTAATTTATTTAAAAACTATTAAACTAAATATATATCTGTGTGATCTGTGTTATGGTAGAACAATAACAATAACTAGCTATGAGAAATGCGAGATTTCTCACAGGCAACTTACACTGTATCTTTTGCCTTCATAGAGAATGTATTTCCAAAATTCTCTATAGATAAAAGTAGTACATTTCTATATAATTTCATACCTACATACACAATTACACAGGGTATTCTGGTCCTTCTCCTAAACTGCTTGTTGCTTTTTCAACCTTGTGTCGTCACTCAAAGTTTTAATAATATAGGTACATACATAATAGTAAAGGTGACATTGTAATAATCAAAGTAATTGTACTGATTAGGTATATGAATAGTTTACTGAAATATACAGATTTCATTTATCCGAAATTCATTAAAAGTAGCATCCGTTTTTAAAGAGTTATTCACTAATAATATATTTTTTAGAATATTTCTTATTTGTTATTGTCCACTTACATTGACATTGTCAGCTGTTTTTTTTATATTAAAATGGCTGCAGCCAGCCTATGAATATTATTTTTCTTATAAAGAAACCTTACTCTACTGTATGGTAGTTTTTTTGCCCTTTTAATATATATATATATATAATTTAATATACATATACTGTGCGCAAACTCATGAATGATATTACTTAAAGAAGATACGTACTACAAAAGAAAGAACATTATTAGCTATTATTATGTAATTGTAACTTACGCAGGTAACAATAAAACTATATTCTGTATTATCTATATTTCAGAAAAACCAACTTTTATTTCCGAATACTGCGATATAAAATAAACATATATCAGTAAACAAATTATTTCCACGTTAATTAATTAAATAGTATTGCATATTATATTTTCATTCTGTGTTTTTTATACTACTAATTACTTTCAAGAGACAAGGAAGGAAAACAGTGGATACTTACAGTAGAATCATTATTAAAAGTAATACATAATACATGTCATGGTTTACATATATATTCAATTTTTGATAATTAATAAATCATTTCAATAACCTAAACCCAACTACTGAAAAATTGTCTCTTAAAAAGTGTGAAAGAAGAAGCATTGTCTTCTGAAATTGTATAGAAGGAGCCATGGTCGTTATCCATTTAATATAGGTACCTACATGTGTGGACCTCTCTTGTTAATAATGTACCTACTTGGATAGATACATAACATTTTTGTTACTAAACGGAATTGAGACTACTATCTCTCTCTACACAATGTTTCTCTTTGCTATACTGTGACATATTATTATTGTACATTACACACTGTCACCTGTGATTCACTTGTGATAAGCTAATCAGATTCACTTAAAAAAAACTAGAATTTAGAATGAAAGTTACATAGGCTATATTTTATTCCAGCCCAGTGATAAGACAGCTAATTCGTTACATATTTTACAACATATTAGTTTTTTAATATTTGTATTTTTGGTCCGGGCGCAATAAAGAGTTATTATTATTAATATGGGTACAATTTTGTATACCTATTCTTTTTAAAATTAAATATCTGATAAGGTACTGCACTATAAATGAAAATATCTTAGAATCAATACTAGATATAGGTATATTTTCTTGATGATACATTTGATACCAAAAAATGAACATTACCAAAGTTTAATTTTAGGTATATATTTCCTTAATTATATATTTGAACAAAAAATGAAATTTTCCCTAATTGTAATACTAAAGTTTATTTAAACATACATTATAACGACGGATACAATTTAATTTTACAAAAAGTTATATTATTGTTTTATTATTAATTTTATACGACTAAAAATATTGTTTATCTATAATGTAGGTACTTATTCATAATTATTCTTTATAGTTCCGAGAAATAAAACTGCTCGCGACCACGCCGTGAGTCATGTGT